TCTGTTTTTCATTGTGGCCGGCGAGGCTCAACCTCGCCATCGATAGACGAGGTCGACCTCGTCGGCCATGGGCAAGATCCGACCTCGTCAAATCTGGTGAGGTCGTGCCTCGCGCAGCCACCGACGAGGACGACCCTCTCTAGTGGCCGAATGGGTGAGGCTCGCCCTCACCGGATCTGGCGAGGGTCGAGCATGGTCGGTGAGGCTTGACCCGCGCCAGCGAGGGCAAGGTCCACAATGATAAAACAGGAGAAAAAAAAAAAGAGAAAAAAATAATAATAAAATTGATATGATTTTTAAGAAACTATAAAAATTGTCCACGTTAGAGTCGGTGACGCCACGTCGACAATTTCCGGTCAAAATTGACCGAATTGACTGAATTAACAAAAATGTAAAAGGTCTAGAATTCAATTAGCAAACAATAAAAAATATCGAGGACTTAATCGGTACAATTGCAGTGGGTTGAAGACCTTTCCCGATTAATTTTCCCTGCCCGACTTTCGAGGTAAAAGAAATCCAGACGTGGTGGCGACAGATGGATGTGGCGATGTGGCTGTTTGTCTTCCGCTACCTTGTTTGTGTGCGTCATCAGACGTGGATCCCGTGGCAGGAAGTAGGAATACGAATTCAAAGCAGCCATCACTCTCGATTCCGAACGATCCTCCATTGCATGTCTGGTCAATGGCAAGAAAAGCGTGGTGGGTTGCTTTCTTCCCGTGAATTTCGTTGTCCTTGATTTTCTTTGGCTTTGGGTTAGCTCATTGCCCTTTCCATTGTCGATGAACAGTTTCTCTTTTTCCGGGCAATGATTTCATCATCAGTTTCCAACAGACGCTATTTTCTTCTCCCCTCTCTTTCTGTTTTTTTTTATTTATTATTTTGTGAGATATTAGGTACAATTTCATTTCTCAAAACAAAACGCCCCAAGAAGGCAATTGGAGAGTCCGGCCAGGTTGTTGTTTTTTTCTTCTTTTTGTCTCGTCCTACTCCAACTCACTCTCAACTCATTCTCAGATTTATAAATAAGTAATCGTTTTAAAAAAGCGTCTATCTTAAACTTTTTCTAGATTTTACTTGACAATCGAGACATAGATTTGCTCGGCAACACAAAAAAGAACTGGTTTCTAGGACAACACTCATTTCTACGAAAGTAAAATTTAACAATAAACAAAAAAGATTAGTGTCTTTAATAGGGGAAATTTCCAAAAAAAGTCGTAAACTTATCGCACTTGTGCCAATTCAGTCATAAACCTTTCAATTTGGCTAATTTAGTAACAGTTTTTACGATTTCCCAATGTAGTCATTCCGACCAATTTTGATTGGAAATCGCTGACATGAACGCCAGCAGTGCCACGTAAAACGGTTGGCGCTGACGTGGATAATTTTTTATAATACTTTTTAGTTTACACATGATACTCACAATAAACAAAACAAAACAAGTGAACATTCTTATTTATGACAACTAGATCGAACATAGAAATAGAAAAAAAAAACTAGGAAAGTAAATAAATTTGAGCCCACTACTTTAAATTGCAATCGAATGATAGAGGGCAATTTTGCTTCTTCTTCTTTTCTTTTTTTTTGGGTGAAAATTGGATGGATCTAGTCATATATGGGATGGAATATATTCAACTAATATGTCGGAGCATCGTTATCAAGACCCTCGTTGTATTAATGGGTGGATTGGTAAGGTCGACTTAGTGAGGAATCACAATTAAAAGACCTCTCTCATTTATGGTAGGAGGAAAAAAGATCATATTTTTAGGTAAGTAAATCTCAAAATACACGAATTACCCAACTGGATCTCATGGATTAGAATTCATACGGGTGACGTGTATAGAATCGTTTGCAATTGGTGGTGTGAAGATTCGAACCTATGTCGACCGCTAAATTCAAAACACATATGTTAGCTCTCCTTCAAAAAAGGAAAAAAAGTTGGGAAAGGAGCAGCTATTCCAGTTTTGGACCTACGAGATTGGCCCAACAATTTCATTGAAGGATCATAGTCCCAGCACATCTCTTGCAGGCTCGGACGAATCCTTATAAGTTTTGGCCCAAATGGCCCAGAGGACACCTTCATAGAGGGTTGACCTTTCAATGTTGAATCCCTCACTATTCGGGCCCCACTACAGCAGGTCCTTTTCTTAGGCTCAATTTGCCCGATAACGCGTTTGTTTCGAGGAAAATTCAAACGAATCGAAAGGTATTTTCCTAGAAGTTACCATTTGCATTGCCCACGAAAACGAGTCGACCAAAGAAAGTTTCATCGTCAATGAAAACGTTCGGGCATCATCGGCCGTCGTTGATAATGACAATATTTTCTCAATCTTGGACAATGACACGAGGCCCATTGCCTTATCTATATTAATTTCGAGTCCTCAGACTTGTGCGACGAGGTCTCAGTCCACGACTTCCTCTCTCTCTCTCTCTCTCTCTCTCTCTCTCCCCAGCATTTGTTTGAATGCCCTGGTTTATTTTTAGTGATGAACAAGTCTGCTTTAGGTATGCCTACGCGAGTTCATTGAACTACCATACTAATCTCACGAACTAGGTAAAAACGCAATCAAATCCTCAACCCATCGATAACCTAAGCGAGATACCATTTGAACCGAACTTTCATATCGTTCATCTAAAATTTTATGCACGTAATGTTAAGGTCTTGAGATTTTTTTTCCCTCACGTCGAGGCTCAAACTCTGATACATAACTTAAGTTGAACGTCACGCATTAACTGGTTTTTTGTTCACTTAGTTGGAATCGCGTGTCGTGAGTCAATGTTCTCTCTAAAGCAAAGTGACGGGGGATGAGTGAATCAATCATGACATTCTTTGATTTACTTTCCATCAAGAACGTCTTTTCACATGCAACATTTTCATTTTCCCAAACTTAGGGTGCGTTTGTTTCACGGAAAATATAACGTTTTTGGAAAATGTTTTCCGGAAAATCATTTTTCAGGCTTTACCAAAAAAAAAAATCATTTTTCAGGAAAATAGTTAGTTTTCCTTTGTTTGGTGATATGTGATTTGAAAATATTTTATGGTGTTTGGATCTCATTTGAAAAATGATTTCAATTCCATGATTTCATCTCAAGCAAAAAAAAAATTTCGAATTTTTAAATATTTTTATTTTTAAAAATAAAAAATAAAAATAAAAAAAAGAAAAAACGAAAGAAAAGAAAAGAAAGAAGAGAATAAAATATTTAAAAAGTAACCACCCGCCTGGGTGGCGCTGCTGGAACTTGTGCGATGAGGTTTCAGTCCACGACTCTCTCTCTCTCTCTCTCTCTCTCTCTCTCTCTCTCTCTCTCTCTCTCTCTCTCTCTCTCTCTCTCTCTCTCTCTCTCTCTCTCTCTCTCTCTCTCTCTCTCTCTCTCTCTCTCTCTCTCTCTCTCTCTCTCTCTCTCTCTCCCCAGCATTTGTTTGAATGCCCTGGTTTATTTTTAGTGATGAACAAGTCTGCTTTAGGTATGCCTACGCGAGTTCATTGAACTACCATACTAATCTCACGAACTAGGTAAAAACGCAATCAAATCCTCAACCCATCGATAACCTAAGCGAGATACCATTTGAACCGAACTTTCATATCATTCATCTAAATTTTTATGCACGTAATGTTAAGGTCTTGAGGTTTTTTTTCCCTCACATCGAGGCTCAAACTCTGATACATAACTTAAGTTGAACGTCACGCATTAACTGGTTTTTTGTTCACTTAGTTGGAATCACGTGTCGTGAATCAATGTTCTCTCTAAAGCAAAGTGACGGGGGATGAGTGAATCAATCATGACATTCTTTGATTTACTTTCCATCAAGAACGTCTTTTCACATGCAACATTTTCATTTTCCCAAACTTAGGGTGCGTTTGTTTCACGGAAAATATAACGTTTTTGGAAAATGTTTTCCGGAAAATCATTTTTCAGGCTTTACCAAAAAAAAAATCATTTTTCAGGAAAATAGTTAGTTTTCCTTTGTTTGGTGATATGTGATTTGAAAATATTTTATGGTGTTTGGATCTCATTTGAAAAATGATTTCAATTCCATGATTTCATCTCAAGCAAAAAAAAAATTTCGAATTTTTAAATATTTTTATTTTTAAAAATAAAAAATAAAAATAAAAAAAAGAAAAAACGAAAGAAAAGAAAAGAAAGAAGAGAATAAAATATTTAAAAAGTAACCACCCGCCTGGGTGGCGCTGCTGGAAAGGGCACTCTTCCTCTCGCAAAAAGTTGGGTGTTCGAATCCCGGGCGCCGTAGGGTGACTTAACCGGTGCACGTGTGTGGTGGCTAGCACATGTCGCCCCCAGGGTTTACCTCCCGTCTGTCGGCCGTGCGGGGGTTCCCTAGGTTACCAAAAAAAAAAAATATTTAAAAAGTAAAGGAAAGCAATTCCAGAAAGTGTTTTCACCTTCTTAAATTAGGGAATTCACTTTCCTAATTTTATATATAAATATTTTCCTTGATCGGAAAGTATTTTTTGTTGACTAATTATTTTCGACAAATCAAATGGGTAAAAATTCGGAAAACGAATTCTCCAAAAATACTTTCGTCGAAACAAATGCCCCCTTATTCACCGTTCGAATGCATACTTGCAGAACGCCGAAGTATATAAAATTGCAGATGGGTGCGGTCCATATCAGAGATTCAGATCTCAGAGTAGGGGCCACTGATCATTGGACGAGACGAGACAGCACCTTAGCGTGTCAGCCTTTGCATTGTATGGGGCAAGTAGTGTGTCGACTCATCATGCATGGTCACGGAGAGATCGGATGAATGTGATCTGAGATCATCGAAACGACAGGTAGCCCAGAAGTCCCAATTCGGCCAATAAGTCAAAAAGCCCGAGGTTAACCAACAGTCTTGGATCATTGGATGGTAGCATGTGACAACCCCCGTTATTGGAGAAAAGCCCACGAACAGATGGCCATAATATCACGTTCAAGTTGTCGTGCTCATGAAAACGAAAGCTCCGCGGTTTCTGCTATATAAACTGACACCGTTCTACGACGGAACACCAACGACCTGCAGGTATCTCTAGACAGAGAGCTTCATACAGTAAATCGATACCGCGCAGGTTCGAGGAGGTGGGAGAGATATAGATATGGTGGTCAAGGTGTATGGCTCGACCAGAGCGGCTTGCCCGCAGAGGGTGATGGCGTGCCTCTTGGAGAAGGAGGTGGAGTTCGAGATCGTGCACGTCGATCTCGATGCCGGGGAGCAGAAGAAGCCCGAGTTCCTCCAACGACAGGTACATTGGCTAGCATCGAATCAGGAGCACATTAAAATACTCGTAATTTACTCGACACGTCTCTCCCCAAAAAGGCTAGGACATGTTTGTCGTGTTTCGGCTTGGCAATCAAATGATACTACTTAAGACACATTCGTTCCATTATTACATGAAGGAACGGAGAAAAGAAGGGGGGGATAATAATAAACTTGTAGTAAAACAACATGGATGCACGGAGTGAGATACAACCATAAAAGACAGGTCACAGGAGCAGAATCACTACTTCACATAAGTGACATGTCTTGTTCTAGAGACCACATTCCCATCGGGGCTAGGGGAGTTCTGTCTTCTCTCTTTTGTATTATTTTGGAGATTTTTTCACATATTCTGGCTGACAAAACATTTGTTCTTTTTCGTTAGCCTTTTGGTCAAGTTCCGGCGGTGGAGGACGGCGATTTCAGGCTTTTCGGTAAGCTCATGTGTCAACAACTCGTGCCTTCGATCGAGGAAAAATGGACAAAGAAACACTTGCAACCCATATGCTTCCATACTTCTCGAACTGAAATGAGTATAGACAATGATTATGTCATGTCCGCGATTGTGCAGAGTCGAGGGCCATAATAAGGTACTATGCAACCAAGTACGCCGGCCGGGGGGCTGACCTGCTGGGCGCAACCCCGGAGGAGCGGGCCGTGGTGGACCAGTGGCTCGAGGTGGAGGCGCACAACTTCAACGACCTGGCGTTCAACCTCGTGTTCCATCTGGTGATCTCGCCGCACATGGGCCTGCGCAGCGACCTGGCGTTGGTCCACAGCAGTGAGCAGAAGCTGGAGAAGGTGATGGACATATACGAGCAGAGGCTGTCCAAGAGCAAGTACTTGGCCGGCGACTTCTTCTCGCTGGCCGACCTCAGCCACTTGCCCGCGATCCGGTGCCTCACGGAGGACGCCGGGCTCGGCCACTTGGTCAAAGAGAGGAAGTTCGTGAACGCTTGGTGGGAGGACATCTCGAGCCGGCCCTCGTGGAAGAAACTGCTGACCCTTCTTTGATTGTCTTGGGAAAAAGCTCTCGTGGACTTCACTTGAGAACTTATTAAGCCTCTTGCTTGTTAGATGCTTGAAATAATTAAGGGTGTGATTGGTTTGGTGAAAATACCGTGATAAAAAAATGCTTTTCTAGAAATGCTTTTTTAGGAAAATATATTTCCTAATCAGGTTGGGAAAAATCCATTTTTCCAACTTTAAGCATACATAATTTCTTTGACCGTAAATGATTTTCCGTTGACCGATCATTTCCAGCAAATTAAATGCGTGAAAGTTCGGAAAACTAATTCGTGGAACAACACGCCCTAAGATTGATTAAGTTTACAAAATCTATCCATCAGAGGCAAATTGCAATAGCCGTTTAGAATGAGTGGATCAAATCTGACATTCAGTAGAAGTCTCACATCGTTTAGTCTATCAATTTTACAAATCAATCGTACCCGACAAAGATTTAGAATTTTCTTTACACGGACGATGTATGTTCTAATTTTTTTTCTAAAAATTAAGTCCTTCCTCATCCTCCATGCTGAAGTTGTTCAAAAACCTCATTGCCCTTGGATGACTTGCTCTATGTTGATTACTGTGGCTGCACAACCATTAATTTTCTTTTTCAATATAGGGATAGGAGCCCGGAGACCTGATTATTTAAAAGTCATGTAAAACCCCGCGAGTTCCCATAAGATCAGGCATTCGATATGTACATATAATCTCGATTGAGCGATTTTGTACGTTGTTGGTGGGATCTGTTTCTCACGAAAAAGTGGTCTGATTGAGGAAAAAAGAGTTGAGAGAAGTCAGTCAAAATGGATGAATTGTTGTCTAGACAGAAACGGTAACAAATGAAAGTTGGTGTGTCCCAGTAGAATCGATAACATCGACCGCGTCGGTAGTGAAACTAATATAACTGAACTGTCTTCGCCAAAGTAGAATAGGAGGACAAGATCATAAAAACCTTTTACCAAGAGTTTCTACAATGATTAATACTACGAAAAATCCCAAACTGATACGTCTGTAAAAAATTTATCACAAATTAATTTTTTTATCACTAAAAATTCAAAACTAGTATATTTGTGACAAATTTACTTTCAATTTACCCTCCGTTAAATTAGATTAATACCACGAAAAGCCATAAATCGGTACATCCATAAGTCGTCACGTGTCATTTAACTTAACAATTTAACGGTAAAATTAAACGAAAATTAACGAAGAGTAAGTTTAATATGAATATATCAATTTAAGATTTTTTTGCAGTATTAACTTTTTCTGAGATGACTTGCCGGTCACTAAAATTCGGAAGCCGCCAAATTTGGAAACAGATTCCCTGATGATGAGCTGGTTGAAACGGGACCATTACATTATTGGACGGACAAAATCTTTAGGACAAAATCTTTAGAACAATCATGACTCATGACCCCATGGTACCAACCGACGACTTTTCTCTCTTTTGTTGGAGATGGAGGCGAGACAATTGGAACGAGGTGTTCTACTGAAGATGAGGAGCTACGCGGAAAGAGCGAACGTCTGGTCAGTTGGGACTTGGAAGGTCTCCTTCCAATTTTGGTTGTTCATGGCTTGAAAAGGGGCAGAAGAAGACCCCGCGTTTAAAAGATATTTTCTAAAAATCGATCGCTTATATCACTTGAAATAATTAATTACACAATTTAATGGATGATTAAAATATTTTTCATTCATTCATTTTCGTAAATCCCTTAGATTCCCTCGTAAGGATTCTCGAGAACCAGATGCCAATCCTCCCATGGTAGTAAATTACGCGCGTCGATCATAAAAAAGGAAAAAACAGTTTAGGAACAGAAATTCGTTTGTTAAAATTTTTGTACCCGGGCACAAATTTGCAAAAAATTGTTCCCAGAATCAGTTAAGGAATAGAATCAAAAAGCAAAAAAAAGTAGTTTCTTGATTTTGGGAACAAAAATCAGAATTGGAAAAGAAATTATTTTTTTTCTTCTTTCTTCTTTCCCGTTCTTTCTGTTCTTCTTCTTCTTCATTCTCCAGCCACCAGCCACCGGCGATCAGCGACACAAGCGAGGGCCGGTGTGGCCCTCGCCCAGGCCTGCCTTCTCCAGCCCTTGCCTGAGCCGGCGAGGGCCGCCCTCGAGGGTCACGGATTGGGCGAGGGTGGCGGCAAAAATCTAGCCCTCACCCAGGCCGCGAGCCTCGAGGGCGGCCCTCACCGGCTCGGGCGAGGGTTGGAAAAGGCCGACGAGGGCGGCCCTCGCCGGATCCGGCAAGAGCAACCCTCACCCAGGCCACGAGGGTCCAACCCTCGTCGGATCCGGCGATGGTAGCCCTCGCCCAGGTGGCAAGGGGGAACCTCGCCTGTGGCCGGCTAGGGCCACGACGCCCTCGCCGGCCTTGGCCTGTGGCCGGTGACCAGGCCACAGCCGAGAAGGAGGAGAAGAAAAAAAGAAAAGAAATATTAAAATATTTAAAAATACTATTAATAAAAAGAAATTTTGCGCCATTACCAAATGCATTTATTTTTTTTTTCTATTTCAGGAATGGAAATTTTGAACCGTTACCAAATACCTTCAAATACTTAGAATCAGTTCCCGAGCACATAATAAAAAAGAATCATTTCTGATCAGAATCAGTTCCCGGGCACAGAATCGTTGCCATGCGCACCCTTAGTGTACCAAATTACTCCTTGATAAGAGGAGAAGATGATGTTCGGGCCGGGGCGACGAGAGATTTAGCAAAGGTAATGAGCAGAGAAGCAAGTTTCTTGACCTTGCTCACGTAGGCCTTCCTTGTGAAGTTGCTATTGTCGTTGGCTTCGATCTCGTCCAGATCTGCCAGTACAACAACAAAGATGCCCACACCTGCATTACCAAACGAAATGAAAGAAAATCAACTTGCAGGGACACACAACCAGCCATTTATGGTGATATGGCTTCGGCTTATTTCGATTAGTGAAAAGGTTTGGGTGGCTGACTGGCCATCTGCTCGCCGCGTTCAGCTCGGCAACTCCTTTCTCGGCCTCATTGTAGAGCATCCTCACCCGCCCGATCTGATTCTTCACGAAGTACCCTCATTTATCCGTGACCTTCCCCGCGAATATGTCGTCGTCCGAACGCCCTGCCTGGGCTAACTTGTCCTGTGGCAAATAAATCCTTCCTCTTCTTGCACTGGAAATTATCGGACATATCGAAAGACGACCCTGTTGTCAGGAGATCGTGACAGTAATATGCTTACGGTTGACAATCGCCAAACCAACTAGAAGGTTTTGAACATTTGGAGAGAAAGAGGGAGAATCCATTCTTCAATTGTAGACAAACGCAGCAGGCTTAGATATGTACTGTTGTGAGGGGATTGAAGAAGGCGGCACAAATGAACTCGGTGCAAAAACTATGGTTTACCAGTGTTACTGCAACTTTTCGCATATGTTAAATTGTCATCAGGTTGTGTTGTGTTTCATTTCTTAGTCACTCACGACAGTCCCGAATACTCAAATTAAGCAGGGTTTGACCAAAAAAAAAATTAAGCAGGGGACCTTTCCCTTACCTGTCCTCGTTATGAGATTCTTATTGCCTCTGGTAAAAACATAGTTTTAGTTCACACCAAGACATTCTTGACAACTTCAGCAAAACATGTAACGTTTTCCTAATGTGGGTTACATTAATTGAGATTGTTATTACCCGCAGACGGGTTTGGTCTAATAAGATTGGATATAAGGTTTCTTAATTGGTCGGATATGGGCCCGGCTTATGTGGGCCGAGTTCGGTCCGGCCCGTTATGAGAGGGCCTGGCTAAAAACTCTATAAATAGCGCTGGAGATCCCTCCTCTGCACCCAACTCTCCAATCTCTCTCAAACGCTCTCAAAACTCACCTAAGGTTTCCGTGAGACAGCTGAGGCGGTCTCATAGCGCCGGGACTTTGGGGGTGACAGGGGAGAAGACCTACGGAACCGGTTTGTCGTCATTTCCACATCCAGGACGATGGAATCCAAATCAGGTGCTCAAATTCTATCCATTCTTTTACCGTACCGTCAATATCTCACTATGGTGATCCTAGGGCGCTCAGCCGAGCCATACGGGCCGGCCAACATGTGGTATCAGATCCGCCATAGTCGAGAAATAGGTCGGATACTGTTCGTATGTGATTTTGTTTTTTTCATCCGTTGAATGTTAGAATAAATCGCATAGATGAATAGATCGTCACGAGACGAGAAAAATGAGTGGTCGTGGGCCGCCGAGAACCACCGCACGCACCGGGGCGTCGCTAAGACGCGGTGGCACACGCGCGGGCGTCCCCAGCGCGTGCAATGGACGCGCTAGGGTTTGCCGTGAGCCGGGTCGATACGGTACCCGACCCGACTCGCAAACCGACCCAGGGTCCGACCCGTTGACCCGACCCGACTAAGGACTCGACCCGGACCCAACCCCGTTGACCGAACTGGTCAACCGGTCGGACCGATCAGCGGTCAGACCGGTCGGACCGGTTGGCGGTTAGACCGGTTGGAAAGGCCATTTTGACCAGCTTAAGCATCGGCGCGTGAAGCCCACACGTCGCGCCTTCAAGAGGTGCGTGAGGGCGAGTCCGGGCTCCGATTGGAGCGTGCAAGGTACCAGCGTGCTCGTATAAAGATTCTCTACACTGTGGTATATGAAGACATAAGAGATGATTACACTCCCCAAGCTAAAACAATCGTTCAGAAATAGGCCAAACCAGTAAAACCTGTAGAGCTGTGGAGACTTTCAAAAGAGTACTTAAAGAAACGAGGCCAAGACATCAAACTCACCATCTATAGCCCACATAGCTCTTCGCCTTTCCGGAGTCATGAGCAACGTAACCCAAAATAAGCATAGAAGAACTTCACCAGATTATACCGACTCAACACCAAATCAGTTTCTCGAGGAAACGCAGAGAAAAACCCATGACGATATCAAAAGGAAATGAATAACGAGTATGTAAAAAAGGCAGATGAAGAAGGAAGATTGGCCAACCCAAGTAAAAAGTCTTGGCACGTTCAGCGCAGGCTTCACCGCATCTTTCATAAGCATCGTCCAACAAGCTCAAAGTCCCGGAAGAACAATATCAGGTTTGACCTCCAGATTGGCCTCGACCTCAGTCGCTCGCTCATCAGAGCC